AGAGAGAGAGAGAGAGAGAGAGAGAGAGAGAGAGAGAGAGAGAGAGAGAGATTGTGTGGGTTTTATTTTCTAGCTCTTGAATTTGAAGAAAAATAGGTGCAGAGCTGCTTTTCGCCTTTTAGGTGCCTAGAACTAGTGAACAAGGTGACAACAAAATAGATTATTGTCTATTCCTTGAGTGGTTTTTTGTGTTGTGCTTTGACCTCACTTTCTCATGTGTATAGTGGTCTTGAATTGAATGCTGAGAATTAAGACTTATCATTGATCAAAATAGCCTGCTCTCCTCTACCTGCCTTTTTGTTAAAATGCTTGTTCCAGATTTATACTGACTGTTCTTGATATCATCTCTACCTTTTCATTTAAAAAATGAAATCAATTAATTATTTGCATGTCCCAGGTTATATCTGCTTTCCTTTGTCAAATAAAATCAAAATGGTCTGTCCTCTGTCTTTTTGTTTTAAAAATCAAACGCTATTTACAGGTCCCAAGTTGTTTCTCTGTCCCTCTTCACTTTATCAAAATGGCCAAATCTCAGCCTTACTTACTTTAAAATGCTGTATTTACAGGTACCAGTTTTCTGTTCTTCTTCGTCTTCTGTAGAGACCAGCATTTCAAGATGGAAAATCTGAAACCAAACCCCAATGTTGAGGTTAAGTTCACAAAGGTAAGAGACTGTTTTAATTTTTGTTTAATTCACATATTTTAAGGGGGACTCAAACACATATATATATGTGAAGTGTGCTGACAAAATGAGTTACTTCTCGGATTCAAGCCTTAAGGAAATAGATATATCACACTTATAAAAGAATTTTTTAGAATTTATAAGTATGAATTAATGAAAGATAGGTTATAATTAAAGAATGGCATCAACAGAAAATCTACAAATTTGACCCTAATGTCGATTTTTGGCTAATATCTCCTCTTGTTGATTGCGAGAAGTAATTCATTTTGTCAGCACGCTATATGTTGCAAAAGTCTCAGTTGCCCTGTTGACTTTTGTCTCATATTTCGTGAAGTACATTATAAATCTCCTTTGCAAATCTTTGGCACACATGTATGACCATACAGTGTTGCAAGTGCTGTAAAATTTTACTAAATCTGAAAATTGAAGTATTAAAGCCAGAACTGCATAGAATTTTGTCGGCATGTTCTCATCATTATGATCATGCATCCTCTGTATTTATGGGTACAGTTTCCTTTTTTTTTCCTTCACGGAATAAGAATGCCTCAGGAATGATCATGAATATGCCAGTGTTGTAATGTAGGACAATAGTGGTAGAGGTGAGGGTCAGATTGATTTTCCTGTGTGACCTTTGTAAAGGTCATATTGACTTTTGTTTGTGACCTTGGAGCTGTACAGGTCTGGATCCATTTGTATAACGTCCGGTTATTGTCCCTTATAGTCCCTTCCATAGTCTTTCTGCCTGTCTTTCTATCTCGCAATATATATATGTGAGGCGTGCTGACAAAATGAGTTCCTTCTCATAATCCACAAATGGAGATATTGGCCAACAATCGACACTAGGATCAAATATGCTGATTTTCTATTGATGCTATTCTTTAAGTATGTCTTTTATTATTTCATACTTATAAATTGTAAAAAAAACTTGACCTATAAGTTCGAGGAATCTATTTCCATAGGGCTCGAGTCCGAGAAGTAACTCATTTCGTCAGCACGCTTCACATATATATATATGTAT